AAATAATAATGCACAAGACAGTGTAATACTTGGAACTGCGATGCTAACGTTTTTTTTTTCTTTTTTTCTTTTTTTCATCGCTATATGTATTTTTATGGAGTTTTATGACGACCACGTGCCATTATAAAAGCATATGTACACATGCGTCCACGCATTCGCGAAATTCCATCGTTTCTAAGTGTACGCGACTGCATAAAATTGTGTCAAAGGAAACGCAAATAGCTCATGCTTTTACATAGCGCTCAGGGGGATCCTCTTTAATATTGAATGTGATTCGTGCATTTGCACATTAAAGTTTAATAAACAAAATAGTTTTCAAATGACATTATATGTTTCACAATTTTTAATCCGTGTTATTTGCAATAATTTGATACACACGCTGATATAACAATGGTAGCAAATTTTTCCTTTTTGCTACATTGTTAACATATTTTAAATTATATTTGAAATGTTAAAGCAATTTTTTTTAAACTACAAAGTGTTTAAACGTTCGAATTCTCAGACGTGAGGCACTATGCTGAAACATGGGAGATAGTCTTAATCTTGGTCAAGTACTTTCGGCCGAAGTTTACTTACCTCCAGGGAAACATAGGCGGCGCATTAATTGGTTTCTTGAACCGAGTGCCACATTTCAAGTTCCCTGCAAACTAAACATCTGGTTTTCGCGGTCTAAACATTCAAGTCTCGTGTTAGTTCCATGTGACGGGGAGAGCACGAAACTAACATAATGTTTAACTGCCATTTACTAATCAAAGATCTGCAATTGATACTTTAAATATGGTGTTTCGTGTAGATGGATGCATTTGTTTCATGAAATCTGATTTCCCTTTTAGATAAAATACAATTTTTTGATTTTCCATTAAATTTTTCTGTCATATAATATCAATTTATAATTGCAAAGTGAAGAAAAGTTAAAAAGTTGATTTTTTTCGTTTATTATACAGCAACAATTATAAACTATGATAAATGCGTAAAATAATATTAAATGCATTTTTTTGCAATATGTCATGAAATTTTCACATGTATGTAATTCAAGCATATTTGCTGACTTGGTTTTCTAACTATGAGAGTAGAAGCAGCAATATCTGAATAGTACAGTTGATTAGATGAATACGTAAGTATCAGTTGATTACGTGAATATCGAGTTGTCAGAAATAACAAAGATAAAGAACAAACAGAGAAGTCGTTTTACATTTACCGTAACCTACAACAGAAAATTCGATTCACTACTGCTCGATTTTCCCTGAGACAATGCCGGGTACGTATCGCCGAAAGGGAGTACCGAAAACAAACTATGCTCCGTAACTCGTCTGGCGGAAACGAACCGCGTGTCTATCAATAGAGCGAGCTGCAACTCGATTTGTTCTTGCTCGCGGGGAGAGAAAATTCGCAGACAGCTGAGAGCAACATTAAAGTTCAAATAAGAATATTGGCCTTTCTTTATTTTTGTGTTCTACCAGCTGATATCAATAATAAAAAAATTCAACAACGCCCTATGATGAAATATTAATGAGGACACAAAATTTTATTATTATTATTATTATTATTATTATTATTATTATTATTATCGTGAAATGAAAGATTTTGACTTTCAGTGCGAAAATTTGCAATCTTATGAAACACATAATCTCTCAAAAGGGACGAGTAAACTGCAAAAGTTTGATAATCGCTATTCCCAGTAGAGACTACCGAACAGTCGGGTTGCCAAGCGTTGTGAAACGTAGTCCGCCACGTCGAGACAACCGAAAACAAAACTCCTTGCGCTCGGTGCTTGCGCCGGAAACGCATCGCGCGGTTACCCATAAAGAGGATCGCGGTGAAGTCGCCGCGCGAGAGGGAACAAGTGAAGAGTAGCCCGGGCGCCGGCAGTTACTTACGCTTAGGACAATTTACCTTAATTAATTAACCGGCGTTGTGACGGGGCGCTAATTTATGCTCATAGAATGATTCACCGCCAGTACTGGGCGGATTGCGGTTTAACCTCCTTCTTCCAACGGCTCGCTGAAGTCGCCACCGTGAGGCAAAATTCGGTCGTCGCATTTTGCCTGCAGTCAGACGGATGAGCCGTGCTAATTACAAGTCAACGTAAAGCGTTTCGAATTGCAGTCGAAAATTTGCACGGACGCGCGCCGTTTTACGCGCGCCAAGTCGACAGGCGATGTTGCGTAATGTGCATCTCGTAAAAGTAAATAAATTTTTCCATTATTTTAATAATTGAAATGATTGTAATATTTTATGATTAGCATATTAATTAATGAGGTATAAGTTCTCTAATGACAAACAGACAGAACACTGGATACGACAATAAACACTTATTAGAAACATCATTAGAGATAAATTTGACGGCACATTTTGGAAGACTATCATTTCGCACTCTCGTTGCCGGA